ACCAAAGTTTTGTCAAAGCGGACCGCCGATGAATTTCAATAGAAACGTCGATAGGAAATATATAAATTATTATTCTTTCTTTTCCAATCTGCGATTATTGAATATTTATTTTTGAAAATCTGTAACTTTTTTTGTGATATTTCGTTAAACTATGATGATGTTTCGTATTACGTTGGCTTTATTAGTGCTACTGGGTATTACCGTTAAATCGGTTTATGCAGCGGACACTAATCCGGATCTCAATATTGTACGTGCCTTAAAGGGAGATGTGGATCTCGAGCTGAACAGCACGGTAAATGATATTTAGCGGTAAATAGGGCCATTTAGATTCTCAGTATTCAAATTTTTTTAACGAATTTTTTTAACGAAAAATAATTATTCTTAGAAAAATATTTATTCTTAGGGTCTCTAGAACATAAAAATTATATCTTTAAGCTCCAAGAAAAATCGATTTCGGTACCATACCGTACGATTTCGGTTTCCATTTGATACGTAATATGGCTTGCCAAACTCACCGTTTTCAAATTCTTCAGTTCCGAATAAATATTTTTGGAATTTTCGTGACAAAAAAGCGAAAAATAAAATAATTAGCTCCCATGTCAAACCCTTCAAGAATAAGAGCAGAAAATATTCACCTGCTTATTACCGTAGAAAGAATCAATTTCAGGATATTATCGCACAAATCAATGAAACAGGTGCCGCAATTGACCCTTCAAATGGAACTTTTACGCCCTCACCACTCATAAATGGTTCGAAAAGTAGTGTCGATGTTATCTCGACTGTAAGCTTGCGCCCAAGCTCGGCCTCAAGCTTAGCTCCAAGCTCAGTCTTGACCTCAAGCCAAAGACCATCAACCTTGAAAATCCTCCCAGTTCCTGAAGACGACTGCCCGAAAACCTGCCGTCGGCCCTTTGTCTTGCTATATTTCATCTTTGCCGAATGCCAGTACGAAAAGAAAACAACGCCAAAGCCGGGATTGGAAGACGTCACAAACGTTAGTGAACAGGGAAAATGTGTGCGATACTTAAATTTTTGGGTCTTTTTCTTGCTATTTCTCTTTCCACTTTTGCTGATTGGCGTTTTTATTGCGTATTTCTTCCGTGTCGTCAAACCGCAAATTGGCAACGGCAGAACGTTCAGATGGTGTTATGTGTGAACAATTGCTTGAGGCAATAACAACAAAATTTTATGTGCTGCCTTCGTTTGCATTGAAATATAATTTGACATGAAAGTGCTATAAAATTATCGATCAATAAAAGAGTAAAAACTTGTATCTTGTAACAAAAAGACAAAATAGAGTAGTCTTCATAGAGAATCGGAAGCTCCAACAGAGCTACACTCAGATTAAAAGCGATATAATGCTCCACTAACAAGCTACCAGGACTCACTTTTACATTTGTAGGAGTTGGAGCAAATGAAGGATTTGTGTTTAGATTTCATATTTCTGAACAACTCCCAACGTTTTGTTCATTTTTGAAACATTTGCAATACAAACTTAAACGGCCTGCGCATTTACACCCGAATCTCGATGTACTTATACTAGTGGAGTCTATACAGCGAACGCGCCGCAAGTGCGCGCTACGCGCGCCCTGGGGGGGGGGGGGGTTTCACGGCGAGGCCTCCATATCAGTATGCCTAAGTCTATAATAGGGTTTAGCCCCATATCAGTATGCTTTTGTCTATACAGGGGTCCTCGGGTTCCGGGTTTCTTGGAGGGCGGCCGAAGGCCGCCCGCCAAGAAACCCGGGCAAGGCGCCTTCGGCGCCTTGCACCCACCTTACCAAAATAAGTTTCAAAAACTCCAATCCCGCGGGGCTGCTATCAACTTTTCCCCCAGGAAGTTAACCAAACTGTACAACTTTCCCTGAGTGCCAACCCTCTCCTACCATAAAAAAATTTCAGTCACGTGACATGACTCATAACTTCCAAAAATTCCAATCCCGCGAAAAAACTAATAACATTCCCCCTAGGAAGTGGGCCCCACCCAACAACATTCCCTGAGTACCAACCCTCCCTCACCATAAAAAAATTTTGCTTGTCACGTGACTTTTAAAAATTCCAATCACGTGACTCTGAAAAAAATTCTGCTGATAGTAAACCACCCCTAATAATAACATTCCCCAAGTCACTTTTCCTTCCTCGCCTCTAAAAAAGTCCGAAGTCGCGTGTGACCGACGCACGCAGGCACGCACCACCGAGTGTGACCTCCGCGCCTTAGGGATAAGGGTATTAATAACAAACTGTTCTGAACAAAAAACAACGGAGTATAGTAGTATTAGCAGTCCATTTGATAAAAACAACCCCGCATTATCCACATAACAAATAAATTTATTTACGATTCAAACAATATTATTATTCCCATATCGGAATATTTTATAACGGGTTAGTTTGCTACCTTACTACTGGGTTAGAAACAAAGTTTTGACACTCGAGGCAGCGTTTTTAACCGAAAAATCAAGGGTCCGGAAATTTTGCCGATTTCACCTATATAGGGGTTTTTGATGCGGGGAATCCGAAACTGAATGGCCATTTTTTGAAGAAAATAGCGGTTTTCCCAATTTTCGTGGCGGGACCACCTATATAGGTGAAATCGCCAAAATTCCCGGACCCTCGATTTTTCGGTTAAAAACCCTGCCTCGAGTGTCAAAACTTTGTTTCCTACCTAATAAATTTTAAATTTGCTCGAAAATAATTTGCTCCCCTGCCGAGTAATCCCCCTCATTAAAAATTTTCAGCGGCCCCTTTTTACCCCTTTGGCATGCGATTATATTTTGGCGCAAATTCAAATCGCCATTTGCCCTGTCGGAACTCTTTTCTACGCCATTTTATTGTGCTATCCGTTTCATGTTTTAAAATTTTAAATCTCTAACTCAAGAAGTAACAGAAATTTCTGAATTTCTAATTTTTTTAAACGTAATTTCAGCATACATAAATAGTAGTGCATAACTTTACTAATTATGCATTTCATAATATGGAACCCAACTGTTCCATGCTATTTTACTATTTGAAATATTGTAAAGGCCATGTCATCCTATAGTTAAAAAATATGAAATTTCTTGATCAAGGCTTTGTACAAAATTAACCACAGAAAAGTTCCTTCGATAATGAGACAGCACCAATAAAAATTTATAATTTACAGAATTATAGTAAAAGTCTTGCTAATCCAATGTGTTAATCTCTCTTTGGATCGCTGTGTCAATTCCGTCGGCGAGCGTTTTTAATTCATTAGAAGTGAACGGAGTAGGTAATATGCCCAGTTTCATCTTGGTGAGTTCCACAGGCTGTCCATTTTCGTAATAAGCGCCGTTTTTCATTCTATCGTCGAAAACTAAACTGAGCACGTTTGCGGCGCCACGCTGTGGAGATCTGAAGATGAATAGTTGTTATTATCGAAAATAGTTCCGACATTTTTAAGGTAGTTCTCCTCGGCCAAGAAAGTATTTAACTGAACGCATAGGAGGCGGATCTTAAGGGAATTCGGCGTTAAACGAAATTGGGAAATTGAACATAACAGTATCTGTGTACTTTCGATGAGTTGGTAGGACAGTTCTATTGGTAGCTTGATAGATAGTAACCGGAAGAGAGGAAGGAACATCACGGAAAATTTTTCAAAGTACGTGTATTCTATAAAACTAGGTATGAAAATCGTAAAGGGTAAAATCTATCTTAGTTAGACTTTTGACTTATCCGAAACTCGTTGTTTGATGTGTACCTCTGTCCATATCATTCTTTGCAAATACAGAAAAGTGTCAAATAGTATTAGCATCAATTTAACCCGATAAAAAACTATTATAGTCATAAACTATGTGACGCAAAAAAGTAATATACCGGTTAGAATTTAAATCAAAATAATAACAAATTCCTCAAGAACAGTGGCGCTTAAAAATTTAACCTATGTGTCCCTTAATCTTGAATTAAATCTTCCATACCTAGAATATTCCCCAAATTAACGAAATTAAAAGCTAACCTTAAAAACGGCGCAAGGACGACATTGATCAAAAACCTGTAAGGCGGAAAGACATATCTGTAGATCAAAGTGGCGATTACTCCTGGATGCATCGAACCGACCAAAATTTTGCTGGGTTCTCCAGTGCCATTACTAAAAATAGTTTATAGTCTAAACAGTTCGTCTAATACCTCACCTGTTCGATAGTCCAATTTCCGCCAAGTATCGGACATATAGGGAAATCAAGAGTTTCGAGTCGGCGTACGATTTGTGACCCAGCATTTCTCTGCACCATAATTCTTTGCTAGCCGCATCGGGGCCAAGAAATTCGTCGACATTACCTAAGCTTCATTGATTTATAAATATTTTGATACAGAAAGTTAGCACGGCGGGACTGGATCTTATGAATAAAATACGATGTCTGGAATCAAAAGCCTGAATATGCATTAAATGGAAACAATTAAAATGTTGCATATTCAAACACTCTTCAAATATTTTTTCTCGCGTACGTACAAAAACTCCGATAATTGCAAAATTCAGAGGTATTATATAGCAACTCACCTGCAAACGCTGTGGCTGACGATACAAAAACGGCTCTTGGATGAACGAAAGGGCTGGCTTCCAAGGCAGGCCTGAGGCATTTGAACAATTGCACATGCGAGAGCAAATTTACGGCTACGTGTGGTTCAATTGTATCCGGAAAGTGATCATTACAGTTCGGATGGAGCATAACTCCAGCGGCACAGACCAACACATCCACGTGGGAAAAATTGTTACGAATTTCGTTTCCAACAACGGTAACCTATAAATTATTTATAAATCGTTTTCAACCGAGAACAAAACAAAATATAATATGTAACAAAATCTGGAAGGAAATGTTTCGTCATATAAAGCCGAAACTTTTTACAGACTTGTCCGTTAACTATACGTTTTTATAAACATTGTTTATCATAAAAATTTCACTAATTTATATTAAATTACAAAACTGCAGTCGCAAAATCCAGTTTGAAGAAATCTATGGAAGCATATCAAGAACAAGCTACGATCAATATGAGTCCGTATGGCTCAGTGGTAGAGCAGCGGACTTTTAATCTGAGAGTCCGGTGATTTTAACTCCGTACGGGTAAAATTTTTTGAAGCGGAGAGTATTCTTTAATTCTCTTTTTCGCGTGAATTCATGAATTTCTATCGACACCATCAACTTAGTTAATACAAAACAATGTTAAAATCGCAATTTTACTTATGCAATTTTTAAATGCTTATTTCATCGAGGACGTCATCTTCTTAGATCAACTCAATTAATAATTCTTAGGTAAAAACAAACCTGCTTTAAATCTGCCAAATCGCACTCCACAAAAATGCATCCGTCGTTTTCCTGTCCGGTTTTCTTGCACTTTTCTGAGAAATTGGCAGGTTTCCGTTTGCCTACTGCCACCACTGTGAAGTTCAAAGATTTCAGTAAATCGATTATCTAAAATAACTTTATAAATAATTTATTATTATTTGTCGGTTTGGCCATAGTTTCCGCCATTTTTACTATAAAATTACCAGGCAATACTTATTTACAGGTAGAACTGATTCTACATAGGCAGACTAGTTTTACCTATTCAGAACTAGCTGCCTAAAATTTCAACAGAACTAGTTCTAGGTAAAACTGATGATAAACAAATGGCAAGAACTTTCCAGTCAAGCCAATAGTTATTTAATATTTAAAACAAACCGCTAATCCAATTGTACCTGCTCCGCCCGTTACGACCGCTACTTTCTTTGCCGGTTTTTCTCCATTTTCAGTTGATGGGTTTTCTCGGAGAAGCGATGAGTGCTCTTTCCACTCTTTCGGATCCAAATTCAGTTGGTGCGGTACAACTTTCGGTCGACTTATACCTAAATATAGAGCCATAATTAACGGTTTCCGCTGTCTTTTTGGCAAAATATGTGTCAAAAATACAAATGGTTTACCGGCTTACTCTGCCAGTGTGACGTTTGCAGACATTGAATTTCATTTTTGTTTTAGAAAAATGCTTTGTGACTGTTGTTTACTAACTTTCCAAGATATTGGCAATTTGTTGTTTGGGAATTTCCTGAGACCTAACATACAAGTTTTTGGTCGATCCTGGCAAAATGTAGCTTTTTATAACGGAGAAAGAGAGAGCTGCATTTTTAAGGAGTGACCAGAAGTGATTTGGATAACAATTTGTCTAAGAACTGTCCGAACTACGCAATAAGGATGTTCGACCCCATGTCAGGTTTTCCATGAAATGGTAAATGTTTGTGAAACATTCCAGAAAATTTATCAAAAAGATCATTTTGTAACATTTCGGAAAATTCAAGTGCTGGAATTGATTGTGTGAGAATATAACTAAGTTAGAAAAGAAAAATTTACTACGGGCGTAAGCTATAGAAAGCCGTGTTTCTGCTCATTGAAGAGCTCAAAGTCACAGAAATAAATCCGTATTTGTTACAAAATTGTAAAAATTCCTTACCCAGCAGTCTCGGCCAATTCCAGAACAATAGAGCCTGTGCAGCTGGAACGTCCACGAATAACTGGCGAAGAGAGTATTTGAATCCGAGCCAATAGATATGCGCCATAGCCGCAATACATTTTCGATATTTCACGAATTTGTTGATAGGAAAACGGCGCTGGTAGGACATTTTTTAGCTTTAAATATATTCTACAGAGAATAACTTTCAAGGTAAAAATTATTTATTTCATTGCAAAACGGTGTCTGATCATTTGGGTTTTGCTTTGAGAGTAAACATGTTATTTTTGTTTGTTCCTTTGACCGCTAAAAGCAAAAGTGATGCGTTTTGCCAATTGGCGGGAATTTGAACAGATAAATTGATGCGGTTTTCTTTTGGAAGAGGACCGCAGGACATTTGTCTCTACTGTGAAGCCAGATGGCACTATTGCACAATCACCGGAAAATTTTTATCTAACAATTTTATGGATTTATTTTAAAATTTAATAATGCACCTTTTTTTTCTCTAAAAGGTAATTTATTTTAGTAATCACTAAATCAGATTCAGTGCAAAAAAGCAGTGAATAACGCGAAAACTTAGACATCAGTACCGTTATTTTATGAAAATTTGAAAAAAATGACTAAAATAAATACAACAGGGAAGCTAAAGTACAAACGATATTAAAAATATAAAGGCAATCTCTAGAAATCATGAAGGTAAAAATGATATGTTTGTTTTCATCCACCTCCATTCATTCGTCTATGGTACTGGCTTTTATATCGCTTTGTGTAAAGGCATATTCCATTGGTGAGGTGCATTATTTCCCTCCAATTCTTGAACTAAAAATACAAAACTTAAATAAATAGCTAAAAACACAGAGAAAAGTATTTGTATTAACTGATTTACAAATTCGCCAGCATTAGACGTCGTTTTGTCTCAACACCATTGTAATATAGATATCGAGTGACAGCGACTCGAATGACGTTTCCCAGAAACTCATGTAATTATTTTAAAATTTTGTATTCTTTGGCTTTTGGTCTATTCCCATTTGGCACCGGTTTTTAGCTTATCTGTGACAGGTTGAAAAGCTCTTCCCATTTTTTGTAAGCACTTCCCACCATGTCTACAAATTATGCGTAAATTGAATTTGCAACTTCCTTTGTTATAAAACTCTATAACTTATTAATAGGGCCAGGATTTTTAGGATCGAAAAATCGCATTTTAGGATCCTAAAAAGGATCGAAAAAACGGCATTTTAGGATCGAATTTTCCCCAAAAAGGCCATTTTAGGATCGATCCTAAAATGGCCTTTTTGGGGAATTGTGAAAAAAATCGCAAAATTTGGGGAAAAATTTGATCAAAATTTGCCAATTTTTCGAAATTTTGCTGATTTTGATCAAAATTTGCCAAATTGTTCGAAATTTTTCTAATAATTTCGAAATGTTTCGAAAAAATTTTTCACAATTTTTTTTTCAAAATTTTTCAAAAAAAACATGGCAAAAGGTTTTTTTAGGTTCGAACCTAAAAATCCTGGCCCTACTTATTAATGAGCCGCGATTTTGGGTCAAAACCTATTTCAAAATCGGGCACAATCTGCACGCTTTCTCTATCCGCCTCATTCGAAACTGATTTCACACTCCCTTGCCAGGTCTCAATCATCCAATTCTCCCATTTAAAAGTTCGTTTGTCCTCTTAAGAGAATCAAGCGGGGACTTTAGTGTAACGCTTCTGTTCTCGATTGTTTGTCGGCGTAAACGAAACTCCCAGCCCTTCCAAATCAGCGTCAGTAGATGACAAAGAGATAAAGAATGAAAAAATTGTTGATTAGATAAAAAATGTTGCATACTTAAAATTTAGATTATCTTTTTTATTTCCCGGATTACCATCTGTCGTTTTTCGTTTCGTTTTCATTTCTTGGGATATAGTTCTTCCGGAATTGTTTGGTTTTTTGTTTCCCTACTACAAGAATATTTGTAAAAAGTTAGTCAATGCTGTCAATTATAATATTTAAATCGTTTTTACAGCGCCGATTCAACTCAAATTTGTTTTGTTTGTTTCGACAAGCCTTGAAATAGCTCACCAAACTAATTCTAATTAATTCAATTAATATTAACAAACGACTTTTGTATGCTTACCTTGTTATTTTTCTTCGGCGCGTTTCATTTCTTACGGCTTATTAATGCGCTTTGGCGTGCATGTCAAGACAATATACACCCCAAACAAATATCCTGGGGAAGTCAATCTGTCAAAACTAATCTGAGAGATTGCCATTGAAGAATTGTGGAATAATGTGAAAAGTTTGAGAAATGTTTGTTTTGTTGAACTTTGTACAGTCAAATTAAATTAGTCCCTGAAAGTGCCAATGCTGATTCCAAGACCTAATATGGCAAAGTTTATCCCAAAAATTTAAGCTCGAGAGTACCGCCCCGCCCTTCCACATTACTGCCAAAGCCTTTATGACTCCAATTAACTTTTATAATCATTTTCAGATTAAAATGAGCCGAGATTCGTTTGTATTTAATTTCAACGTGAACAATTTTTCCTGCGCTGCTCCGGACTTTCCAAAATCAAACGTTGTGGAACTCGAGAGATCAAAATGGTAAGTTTTCTAACACCTTGGAAATAAAAATAAGTTTCATGTAAAATATATAAGAAAAATTTCGTATGAATAAATAAAATATAATTAAATAAATATTTATATAAATTAAATAAATATATATAAAATTTCATAAATAAAATCGTATGAATATTAAAATTGTGACATTAAAACTTAATAATTTGCTGAGCTTCGGAAATTTTCCTTTTCAGGTATTTTGGAGTGGAGAAGACGCAATGCACTGATTACAATTATTGCAAAATTTTGAACATTTTTCTCACCTGTGAACGAGGAGTTGTCAATGGAACCTATACCGTGAATTCGGCTTTGATTTTGCGTGGCTCCGTCATTGATGTGCTTTTCACGGTGGGTTTGGCAAATTTGACCATTTTTAGCTAAAAGTTAATGTTTAGGCCAAAAATAGCATTCTTGACATGATATCAAAAACTAATTGCAGATGCGGAATCAGCATTTGGCCAAAAAAGTTTTAGAAAAAAATTATTTTTCGTACCTGCTTTGCATATATATCCTATATAAAAAATGGATTGTAGTCTCAGCTGGGACCATCCGTCATAATTTTGCGAAAAAGGAAGAGATTCCCTTTGTTACAAGTTGTTTTTACGACGACCTCTAGCGAAAAAACGTGTCTATGAGCGCAAAGGTCCCAAAATTTGACCAAAATGGCACTTTGCGATTATTTTGCCTCACTTTGACTCTCAACGCTTTCCTTTCAGAAAACGCACTATTTCGAGCCACTCGACCTGGAAATGCCTTACTTCAAGATTGACTGTAGCTACATATTCGATAAAGACAATGGATTCATCAATGAAGATGGCGAGTGCGAAATTATGGCCGAAATTTCAGTCACTCATGTCGTCACCCAGGCAGAAGTTGTGGAAATTGATCCATTTTTAAAGTAAGCAATGATTTAAGGAAAAGCTAAATAATATTATACTTTAAACAAAATAAATATGTATTCCGACGTTTGCAAATTTCCGGAATTTTGCAAGATGTAATTCTGTAATTTAATTTCCTAATTTCATGAAAACATTAGTCCAAAGTTCCGAAAA